TTTTTTTTTTTCTTTTTTTTTTTTTTTTTTTTTTTTTTTTTTTTTTTTGCCAGGATCTAAATTTGGCGTGGATTCTTCCCCTGCTCTGAACAGCTCCGGAGCCTGGGTAGGGGAGAGAGGGAGGCATCAGATGACATGACAAAATAAGTCATGTCTCTCGATCGTTTCAATCCCCCCCCCTCCCCCCCGGCCTCTGCCTTCCATTTTAATCACTGACAGGCCTTCAAGTATTATGGATATATATAATCTTTTTCATATCACTGACATTTTCCATAATGGAAAGCATCTCCTGTGCGCTGAGCCATTCTGGAGGGGGATCGTGCCTTCCAGCTGATGCTCCCGTCGCGCAAAGCGCGGAGCCGAGATTCGCCTTGCCGCGGGCCCCGGCGCCGAAGGTCCGAAGGCGCTGCCTGGGGTGGCGGGGAGAAGGCGGCGGGGAGGCTGCGTGCCTCCGGGGGCTCTGCAGATCTCATCGGCCTGACTTTCCCAACAGGCTCTGGCCCTGCAAGCCGAATGCACAGCTCGTCCCGCTCCCCTCTGCAGCCTGGGAGAAGACCACTTCCAGCATCCAAACCCTCCTCCAGGTCAACCCGGAGGAGATCCCAGCTCAGGCAACCAAGAGAAGCGGCCCCCATCGCCCATGGTCCCGGCCTTCCTCTGTGCCCAGTGCTCCCGGTTCACCCGTGTGGCTCAGCCGAGGGGGCCAGCTTGCCCCTCTTCAGGCACTGGCTTTTCGCGAGCCAAGTGGACCTCTCCATGGGGACACGGCCCCCCCCCGAGCTGCAGCAGAGCTGGGCACACGCGGGGTTTGCCAGCCCCCAGCCCTGCTGGCAAGGCTTTAAAGCTGATTTCCCCAGCACAAGCTGGCTGCTCCCCCAGACCCCCCCCCTGCCATTGAGAAGCCTCTGGAAATGCGCTGTCACCTTCTGCTTGCAGCATTTTCCTGGAATCCCCCTTCCCGGCCTCTCCAATAGTTACGGTGTCTTCGGGCCCCGGCTCACGTGATGGGTTTGGTATGCAACTCCCAAGGCCAGGAAGGTCGCTCACCTCGGTTATTTAACAAACACGACTCAAATTATTAACACTAATACAAATAATGCCCGCATTTGGGAGAGGGGAAGGAATATTCTCCTTGCCTGGCTGCTAGGACTTGGCATTAGAGGGAGCGGAGCATCCGCGTGTCCTTCAGAGCGCGGGGCTGACCAGCCCCGAGGGTCTCTGCTCTCGTGGCAGAACCCACGTCTCCCAGCAGGCCTGTAAATGTACACGTTTCTGAAGGTGTTCTGTGGAAGCCAGCTCTAATTCCACTGCAGCTCCAGTCATGCAACTTCCACAAATCGATGCAAAAGAAAAAAACCGAGCAGCTGGCTCAGGGGAGCTGCAGCAGCCGGGCAGCAGAGCACCGCGCCTGTTGGCCCAGCACATCCCTTCCTGCACGCTGCTTGTGCCTCGGCCCTTGAGGACCTTCTTGTCCCGGGCTGTAAGAGGCGCCGGCAATATTTATGACAAAAAGAAATGAGGCAATTCACAGCATTTGGGTTTGTTCTCCTTTGCAGAAGTTCTCAGGCCACCCGCCTGCCCTGGGCCACCAGGCTCCTCCCTTGGACTTCCACGGGCCGTGACTAACACGAAACTCCCAGCTACCTCTTTTCCTATTAAAAGTTTTCCTGTGAGCAGAGGAATACACAGAGCCTGGTTTCTACAGGCCAGACTGGAAGCATGGATCTTGTGCATGGGCTTTGCCATCTTTTAAGGTAAAGCTACCAAATCCCTGCTTTTGAGACGATCACGTTGCCTCTATAACGTGCAGACTCCCTCTTGCCTAGAAACAGATGGCTTGAGCTGTTTGAGTTGGGCATATTCACAAGCTGATAATCATCTCCAGGGAGGCAGGAGCTATTGTCAGAGCCTGTGAGACACACCCCAACTTCAGGCCTTTTTCCTTCTAGTTCTCCAAATGTTGCTGAAATTCTCACTACAGGAATGCTGAGCAGAGACATTCCCTTTGTGGGTTCGTGCCCGCTAAGCCAGAAGCAGCTCCCGGTTTCCACAGAAGCCAGAGCGCTTCCCCGCACTCTGCTAAAAGCATCTCAAAACATGAGGGGCCTCACCTGGCCAGCAAAAAAAAATAAGCTGCACTTGGCTGTGGTACTGCTGGGAGGCAAGGGGAAGAATATATCCTCTCCCCAGAGACAGCAGTTAAAATGAAACAGCAAAAGAAAACAATTCTGCAGAAGGAACAGTTATTTTACACTACATGCAGCTCCAAGACGGGCGTCAGCACGGCTGCCAATGTAAAAGAGCACGTGCCCGAGGCACGCACGCCCGGTGCAACCGCGCAGCGACGTGCAGCATTTGTAACAGCAACGCTCGGCGCGGATATGCATCTGCTGCCTAAGAACCCCAAAGGTATCACAAACCTCAATTAATAACCTGCGCTGATGTCATTTCTCTCCAGGGCCAAAGCCTTTCTGGGGAATGCCGCCCAGCTGCTCCGGCAGGAAGGTGGCACTTCACGGACAGACGCCAGGTCTCTCTCGATCCCAGGGCAAGAGAGACCCCGCACCCAGCTCGCTCTGCCTTGGAAACCCGCTCCGTGCGACGCTCAGCCCGGGGACGTCTCCGGGAAAAGCTCCGTTCCAGCTGTGATGCACAAGAAAACCCAGACAGAAAGCGCTGATAAGCCCAGACGCACACGCAGGCTGACAGAGACAGGATGGGTGGCTCCAACGCCAGGCCTAACCACGCTCACGATATTTACGGCATGAATTGCGCTCATTGTAATTCAAGAGTGATTAGTCTTGGAAGGAAGCAAGTAAGAGCTGGCTCCGAGTGGGGCATGGGTACGTTGAGCTGGATGGAGAGAGGCGGCAGGATCAGCACAAGAAATAAACTCGTGTGCGAAACCAGGCAGGGCGGCACACCCCTTGGGATAGCGCCTTTTCGCTGCGACCCTGAACGCCTCAGAGAAGCCTGCCGGCAGCGAGGCCTGGGGGAGACTGGACAAGCAGTCAAGAACATGATCAAAAATAGGATGGATTTTTCTTAGTTACTGCCCCGGTACTTGCGCACTCACTGCTCACTTACCTGCTTAGACAAGCAAGATCGAGAATCGAAGAATACGACATATCTCGTGTTGACTGGCGCTTGTAAATTCTTCTTCCTTTGCAGAAATGCCAGTATTTTCTACTCTTAACGGTTTCTGAGGCTGTGATATTTCTTGCCTCGTCTATTCTTGGCAAGCGATCATCTGTAGCAGTAACAGATGATCTAGCAACAGTCTCGCATCACAGCATGTCAGAAAAGAGGCAGCCCGGTATTTGTAATCAGTGCCTCACTTCACAAAGAAGAATCTCCACTTGATCTGTGTAAATATGGTTCTTTATTTTTTAAAAGTAAGCCTATTTCTAGTTACAAAGGGCTTCACTCTCCCACTTTAGGGCACCTTTTTTCTTCAGTTCCTCAAATAAAGAAACCATTTTGCTCACCATTGAATCCAGCAGCCCATAAACCTGCAGCAGAAACGAACAGAAGATAGTTGCAGTGAAAACACGCGAAGGCATCCTGATGATGAGACTGACACGGAGAGAGATGGTTTCTCACGCACATTAACGTACGGGCACGCACACAACCCCATAAAAGTGGCTGCCTGCTAACAGCACTTAGCTCTAGTAATAACTTTTCTGGCTATGAAGTGTGTTTAACATTATCCGAGATACAATTAATTCTGCTGGTCCCTCAAGAGTCCGCAAGCGTGCTAAAGAGAGCCCAGATAGAAATCCCGCATGTGGCTATGCGATGGCTGGATTTATATTAACAGATTCCAGGCTGGAATAAAGGACGCCTTACCTTGTATTTCACACTTACCTTGCTACAGAATTACAGACATATGTCTGTCAGTTTTCTAAGTGTAACAAAACGATTACCTCTCCACTTAAGCTTCAATGTCAGCTTACGCACAAAGAACAAAACCAAGAAACGAAGATATAAGCTCTGGTCAGACTCACTTCAATATAAAGTTTTTCTTGGTATATCCCAAACAAAATAGGGTCCACCTGCTCCTGAGGAGGTTCTACTCTATCTGCAGCTACAGCTTCCACGGGCTGGGCTCCCTCTTTCCCCTCCTGCAATGAAGTGTAAGATTTCAGCTTTTTCTCATCTTTTACTTCTAGCTTTCTGCTGCTTGGACGTTCCTGTCCAGGGACAGACAAAAAAAAAAAAAGTGACATAGGTCAGAACACCTTGCGGATTGTTGCACCTCCCAGCAGCAGCACCTCTTTCACTGGGCTGGGAATCGGCTCCCACTCCAGATTTGGTATATCCCAAACAAAATAGGGTCCACCTGCTCCTGAGGAGGTTCTACTCTATCTGCAGCTACAGCTTCCACGGGCTGGGCTCCCTCTTTCCCCTCCTGCAATGAAGTGTAAGATTTCAGCTTTTTCTCATCTTTTACTTCTAACTTTCTGCTGCTTGGACGTTCCTGTCCAGGGACAGACAAAAAAAAAAAAAGTGACATAGGTCAGAACACCTTGCGGATTGTTGCACCTCCCAGCAGCAGCACCTCTTTCACTGGGCTAGGAATCGGCTCGAACTCAGGATACACAACCTCAGACTGGATCGCACTGTCCCCAGCACTGTGGGTTCAACAGGGATCCCACCACATACCTCTTTCTCTTTCCCTGCTGTCTTTGCTGTTCTTTTTTTGCCTTCTTTATCCTTACCACCAAATGACTTTCTCTCTTCTTTCCTACTAGTTATTCTGTCTTCCTTTTCTCCTTTTATAGGTTGCTTTACTTCCACTACAAAACAAAGAATTACCCAAAAGCAACATTTTTACATCCAGAAAGACAAGCCCACTGTGCTCACGCAGTGGAAGCACATTACTTTTGCAACATATGTTCCTCTTTTTATTAATCGGAGCTGTCCTGCACTGCAAAACAATACCTTGAGAGTACTTTGTTTAAATACGGAATGAACAAGTCTCAGACACGTATCGGACCAAGCCTGTAAAAGAGCTAAGAGCGAGATAGGGTTTTCTGGGCTAGTCTCCGTGAAAACCATGGCTACATCTAGCTAAATTAAAAGGCTTATTTGTGTAGTGTTTTTTTAATGACACCAAACCACAGATCACAATTAGTATCACACAATCTGCCATTTTTTCTGATGCATTTTGTTATAAAAGCTTTGAGGGGAAACCACTGAAGTTGCCAGTTCAGTTGAAATTCAGCATGTTTTCTGGATTTCCAACAGTCCACAGAACCCAGCTGCTGTGCTAAAACTACCATTTACCTGTTTCCTCTGGAACAACATCTACACAGGTGTCCTTCTCGGGCAAGCCAAGCTGGGATCTCAGCTTCAGAGAGTGACTCGCCAGACCATCAACTGTTTCACGCCACAGCTGGAGACTGAGGAAAGTATCAGAATCAGAACGGAAACAAGTACAGCAATGGCCATTTTGTTTTATCCTGTGCCCAGGCGTGAAGGCACGTTACAGCTGAGAGCTCCTCTGTCCAACTAAAGCAATAAAATAGCACCCGCCACCTAAAAGCCTGTGCAGAGGGAAGCTAAATTACTTTCCTCATGTTTGAGCCCTCTGAGGTCTCAATGGTTTGCAAATGAATGAGCTCATACGGACCCATAAATATTACTGCGAAACTAGATCTGCTCTTCGACACGACACGTTGGTACATCAGCATCGACCTGCTCGCTGTGTTTACCAAGAGGAACCTGCACCCTTGTAATTTAGCAGCAAGTAGAAGCTGTTGATGTGTTTACAGTCTGAAAGCCTGAGCAAAGAACAGACAGACTGTATGAGGGAGAACTCAGTTATCTGAGTAAAAGGGTACAGAGAATTACCCGAAGGTTTCATAAACACAGACTAGAATAATTTTGCCAGAAATAATCTTGCATACTCCCCAAAATCACATTAACTTAATATTCTAAGCTTATCTCCAGAAAAAAAATGGCATTTGGGTCCTAGACGGTTGCTGCAATTAATCCATAAAAAAACAGAGTGTAAAGACGACTTCTAGACCTCATATAATTATCTGCACTCTGAATCACAACACTTGCAACAGAGCTTGCTAAGGCTGTCGATCACATGATGCATTTACAAGCTTTATCTTGCAAAGGTAACGCACCAGGTTTGATACAAAAGGTCTGATTGAGTTGGCCTCTGTTCAACACACAGCTCCAGCGCTGCCTTATTGAGCTGGGTCAGTGCTGCTTCTCGCTGCTCCTCCTCGGGGATTGACTTTATAGCCTGACGCGAGAGAAAACACGGGGTCAATGGAGTGCTTCTTCTCAGTCTTCATTCCCGGTCCGTGGACCCTGAGCTCACCACAGCTCTGTTCCTGGACACCAGTCTGAAACCAGGTTGCACTGGGCACTTATGCGCCTAGGTGTGGCCTCCTATACAGCTGGGATCTGGCCAAGGTGCACACGCAACCCAAGATCTGGGGAGCAATCCCAGTTCCCCCAGTCAGATTGCCAGTAAGCCCCTTTGCAATGTCACAGGTGTGTGGGAGAACAGGGATTCTAGCGAGCTAGAAGGCCCCAAAATAAAGATTAGTTATAAAAGCAGCAGAGAGGTTTCCAAGAGACCACTACAGAAAAACTGCGCTGACAGAATCCAAACCACTCTTGCTCTAATCTAGGGAGGTCTGGGCTTTATCCACAGCCTGTCATGAGTGCCCCCTTAGTGCTCTGATGAAGAGGAAGGACTTTCCAAGGAGAGGAGCCCTTGGGGAAGCCACAGCAGGCTGCAGGATTAGCCTGCCCCCCGCATTCAGTCCTGGGATGACAGAAAGCTAATGGGGAAAGAGCTTAAAATATCTATTACATTGCGTGGTTCTCTTTTCTTCTTCACACAGCAGCCCTCGAAGTCTCTCTTGGGAATCTCTTTACAAGAGCACGGAGGGTGTGGTCAGCAGAGCTAAAGCGCTTTTCTGCGACACACGTCGTAAATCATCTCTAACTCAGAGCACGTTGGAAGCAGCCCTTTGGGCGGGCTCACTAACACCATCGGCTTGTCACAGCTCTAGCAGGAACAGGGGTGACCACCTGCTTAAAGTCCTCGAAGGAAAGGTTCCATCCCGAGGGGCCTGGTTCTTCCTCCTCCACGTTCGTCATTTGACTCGGAGCCTCCTCCAGCGTGTTCTTCCAGCCTGGGACCTCTGCGGTGCCGCTCTGAGCGGCGAGAGCCTCCGAGGTGCTCTCCTGGTACTGCGTGTCCTCCGCAGCGCTCTTCTGGCCCAAGGGCGCTTTCTCCTCAAAGGCTGAAGGAACAGTCATGTGCTGTCTCCATAGTTCATGCAGCTGCTTTACCACTCGATGCTGATAATGCAACTGCGATAATGGGGAGAAGGTAAATAGTGAAAGGAGCTATGCCTTTTCTCTACGGGCCTAATTGTTAAAGCCATCCCGGCAGACTGTGCCAGCCTCCAGCAACCCAGGGATGCACCAGCCCCAGGGATGCACCAGCCCCCCCAGCCCCCCCTGCTATTTCAGTTGCGTAGCCCATCAAATAGCAAACGTCACCTCGGGATTCTGCCGGTGGAACAACTCTTCCTCTGTGACACAGGCACCCACAGGAGACGGGGTGCGCTCTGGGGTGCGAATTCGGGCAAGAAGTTCCTTCAGACTTTCTTCTACTATAGTAGCACCTTCTCGAGCAGCCAGGTCGCTCTGAGGCACCACAACAAGAACAACACGTGTGAGTCCCCGTTCTATAGACGGACACACAAACAAATTCGCACCCACGCTAGTAACCACAGGTTTACGTTATATAGGGTTACAAGGACAAGAATAACTGCAAACCCCACCAAGCAGAGCAATACTTACAACAGCTTTTCAAATAAACCCCACAAATCCTCCCCCAAACTATACTTTTCAAAGCATAGTGTAATTTTCCATTTATACCTTAACTGATATCGTACTGTACGACACATAACCCCATCCCCACTAAGTAACTAATGAAATTCATCACCAATAGAAAATTCATTCTTTAAAGGACCGGTGCAAACAGTTTAGGAGACACAATCACGTCTTTATTAACACCACTACGACAGACTGCAGAGTTCTTCCATTTTACTTAGCAAACCTGCTCAAGTACGTACAGATGTTCTGTAAATAAATAATCACCTCGCTCTCAGCCCTAATTGCATAGCAATAAAAATACCATGTCATCCACTCCCACCCTTATCCTCTATTTGCATATTAAGTTCAAAGCTCAGTTACCCAGTTACATGCTTGGTTACCTCCAGTTTCTCTCTGAGGTCAGCCAATTTATCCTCGTAGACAGCAATTCCCCAAAGGGTCACCTGCAGCAGAGCTCCTGCTAATAACAGAGGATGTGTCCTAAATTCCCAGGACTCGCTGAAAATGCCTGCTCTCTCTGACTTGAAAAGAAAGAAAAACTTCCTAGTTTCTCCAGGCAAAATTACACCTGAAATAAGAGAGAAAAATGCATTGGTCTGCAAGAAACCACCTGGTTAACTTGACCCTTTTCCAACCCCACCCTGAGCCCCATAGCTCAGCTGGTTATCACACTTCATCCAGCTATTTTTCTCCTTCCAGATTTACTCCCAGTCACCATGTTACCGAACTGGTGTTATTTCCATTGCACGCTCCTTTTTCAGCAAGCTCAGCGCTCTCTCTGGCAGATTATGCCCAGTTTGCCACCAGAAAATGATTCACTTCTCAATATTCCACCCATTTACATTCAGAATAGGAGCAACCTCCTTTCCTTTAAGTCCCACGAAAGGGATCTGCCTCGCACACCTCTTTTGTTGTGAGTCAGCTCTGACGCCCAGGATGGCTTCCCAAAGAGAATCACCCAACAGGCTTGCTCTGCCATTAGTCAGACTCAGCATCTCAGATAACTCGTGAATACGTGCTCTCTGGTCTAGGTACAAAGGTCTCGGAGATCAGCAGCTCTCATACCTGGTCTGGTATCAAAGTAAAAACACGGCGTCCTCTTCCCCTGGGTTTCTCTGGAGGGAATCTGCTGGGGAAGCCTCATCCAGTCATACCAGATGGCAGCTGTGCCATCATTGCTCACCCTCAGGGAGCTTTCAGCTTTCTCACCAGCCAAGGTCTCAAAGGTGAGCCGGGCAGCAATGCCAACTTCATTCTACAAGGAAGAGGAAAAAGACATAGATAACTTCTACTCTATCTGGCAGGATTTATCTTGCCTGAAGTCACACCACAAATAAGGCGTTGAGCCTTGGTAGGAGAAGTTGTAAGACAGGCCCGATGAAGTGGCCATTATACAGAGAGAGCCTGGGAATCTGAGCTTCACACCGCAGAGAGAGCAACCCCTTCTGTTTCTAGATCTCTCCGGAGCAAACGTAGGGATGCTCTATTATGCTCAGAATAAATCCCTCATTCTCTGGCCTGGGAGTGACACTCATTGTACAGCTGTGACTTGGGAACTCAAGCAGGCTTAGTTTGACTAAACAATAAAAAGCACACAATTACCCTGCAAGAAGTGATGCAGTTGATCCAGCGAGCAGGCTGGCCACAGAAATCTAAAGACGGACCCAGTACTGCTTCCGAAAGCACATCGGGGTCATCCTGTAAGGAGTCACTGCTAAAGAAAAGAAGAGCCAGCGTTTTCATGGAGTGAAATTCACTTTCAGAGAGGGGAGAACCAAGGGTGATTTACAAGACCCTATAAGAAATCATCCCAACTAACGCTTTTCCACAGAGCCATCTCTTTAGGGACAGAGCCCTGCAGATGTGGCAAACTCCAGCTAGCGACTTGTCACCATCAAGGAGGACAGGACAGCCAGAACATTAAAGAATGATACCTGCCTAAGGAAGGCTGCGGGTGCATGACTAAGTAAGGAGAAGAGGCCCTCAGGCTGTGCCTGTTACAGATGGACAGGATGGGGAAAAAAAGCAAATTGATGATGGAAGGTTGGAAAAAAGACAAAAGACAGCCAGATGGAGGTAATTCAGAGCAGAATCCCCACCCTGCCTAATGTAAGCTCTGGAGTCACCCAGAGGGAAGACTGGAGGAAGGGCCTCAAAAAAACCCCCACTTTTCTCCAATTTTCGCTCCTTAGGCACGAGGCCCCAAGGCACTAGGGAACCACTCGATTCCTAGATCTGGTGACTTTAATATTAGAATATGCTTTTTATTGTGCCCCAGTGGAGACTCCTCCATGTTCTGGATACGGACAGTTAAGGATATCCTTACAGACTGATGGTACATACCCAAAATTCTTTATTTCTGCCATGAAGTAAAACTTACAGGGTTTCAGACTCTTCAGAAGTGGTGGAACGTGGAAAAGGCTCTGTTGAGACAGATGTGAAAGGCTGCCCTTTACCAATCACCTCCAGTCCATCCAGATCCTGGACATACAGAAAAATGACCAACTCACGATTTCTCTTTTTATATAGAAAGGAAGTTAAAATACCAGACAAACGTACCAACTGAGTCAAATAAAGTGAAGCTGAGGTATCTTGCTCCTACGATGGTTTTTAGAGGTATCCAATGAATGTGTAAGAGACACAGGAAGGAACCAACTCTGGGTCTCCCTAGAATCCTAGCTGACTGCATTCCCCACTACAAATGATGCATGGATGGGAAAAGTCTCCTTCACACACATTTTTCATCCCCAGAGCCAGGTTTCAGAAAGAAAAAGGTGAGGTTTGTTCCGTTTTTAAGAGGAAGGGCTACCTGCCTTCAGGAAATAATTTCAGACGCATGTCTTCCACACGGGTAAAGGTGTCTTCCCTCTGCCCTGAGGCACTAAATCAAAGTCCTGCACCAGTATTTGGCAGGTTTTTTTATTGCCTAGGTCTTGGCAGCTACATGCTGCTGGTTCGGGGTCCTATTCTGAGGCTCTTAGACCACTCCATGCAACACTTATGAAGGAGTTGTCTGGCCTCCCTGCATGTGGCCCTTTGGAAACACAGGGACTTCCAAGATAAGTACTGTGGGGCTAAGTTTCAGATTCCTAATGCTTTTTCAGATCCAGTTCTTGGCAATTTTATGTTACTCTGCAGCATCTGACAAAAGACGAGATGCAAAGAATGTCCTCGCTCCTCCAGTCTTACCGGCTTATAAAAATCTAGCTCCTCTAGGACAGATTTCAGTTCCTGTCGTCGATGTTTCAGGAAAAGACTCTTATCCCAGGTCAGACGGAAAGGGATCCTCTTTGGAGGCTTCAGACCTGTGGAAATACCCATACAAGAGCTCACTGCCTACATACCCACATGCCTATTAATTTCACCCTCTGCCAAACTTTGGTCTCACGGTGTTTTAAAGAAGAGGACCAAGAGATGACTGGGAAGTAGCTTGTGCTGCAGCTGTCGGAAGGGACAACTACAACGGGAGCCTCCGTACTCGCAGGAATCGCTGTTTCTTTCTGCTGCTCCCTCCACACTTATACCCCATTTCTGTGGAATCATCTCTCTGTGACGTTCCCTTACCCATTTCCACCCGGACAGCGTGGGGTTTCCCCACATGAGTGACCGGCTCTGGGTAGCCACATTCTCGCTGAGTCAGTGTCATCGTCAGGCCGGTGAGTTCATCTCCAATACGCTCGGGCTGGCTCCAGAACTCGCTTCCTCTTCGGTAGCCCTAGGGCGGAAAACAAGGCTCCCACTGATGCTTTCAGACTGTATGGCTGCTTGCTATTTTCACAGGGACTAGAAGCTAAAAAGAAGGGGTCTAACTCTGCTTATACAGATACTTTAAAAGTCTATAAATTATCACTTTTTGTAGAGCAAGCCAAAATTTCTATCAGGCTGATGTCAAGGAAAAAAGAAGAACTTTCTTCTATCTAGTGCTACATGAAGGTTGAATGATATTAAAATAATGTCTCACACAAATGCAAATTCTTTGATAGTCCTATAAATGTAAAAAAAATAATTTTAACATAGGACACTCCCATAATCCTCCTGACTTACCCATACCCCTTTCTCCATGGCAATCACTAAAATTCGAGCCTGAAGCCACCAGATCTTTCTGTCCCTGGAACAGCAATTGTGGCACGTCCCCATGCCACTTCCCAGTGCATGACAGTCTTTGGTGATCATCAAGAAATGGCATTTGCCCATGTCCAGCAGCTCGTTAGCAAGGAGCCAAAGCACACCACCGCTTTCCTTGGCTAGCACGGTTCATGTTTGTATTTTTAAAGTCACTGAAAGCTCTGCTTGCACACTAGGCTGAAGGACTTAGAGCAGCTTTGATAAATATCTAATGACAGGTCCTCAGAGATGTTACTCGTAACACCAGTGTCTTAGCTCTTTCACACAAGCAGAGGAAGCGGGGCTCTCACCTTTCCAGGGAGCAGGGCAGGGAGACTCCGGTCAATGAGGTCACGTTCTTCCTGGATTTGCCTGTAATCCTCCGAGATGCTCATCAGCAATTCATTCTCTGGCCTCTGAAGAATTTCTATAAAGCAGGAACGTCAAACGATTCGTGCTGCACTCCTGGGCACACCCAGTACCTACTGTTCACATGTAACCCCCGTACGCTGTCCCCCACCAAATCCACTGTCCTTCCCCCAGCCAGACCCGCCAGCTCGCCTCCCCACAGCACCCACGGCCGCTGGCACGAGTGGCGTGGGGAGCTCTGAGAACACGCAACGGCACCGGGACTAACCGCGGTTGGCTATGACCATTAGTTTGTTGTGGTGCCGTCAAACTCCTCCCCCCGCACACAGAATTTCGCAGAACGAGGCCTCAGCTTTTCTCACCTCCTAGATATTTCTCCTGCTTTTTCCTGATTGCCATGTTACGGTGCCAGTTTTGGAGAGCTTTGTGCTCTGCTACTGGGGTCTGATGAACATTTTTCTTCTCTCCTTCACGTTCCCCGTTTAAAGCTGCCGCAGTAACATCTTGTCGAGAAAAAGCTGTGATCTGAAGAGAAAGGAAACGTTAAATTAACCTCTCCACGCATGTACTGCCACTACAACGAGAATGGGAGAGAAGAATTCTTCAGATTGACAGTACTTTTACCTGATCACTCTGAGAGGAACAAAAATAGGGCATTACGAACATGCTCGGAAACAATGAAAGGATTTATCTGAGTAATTAGACTTGAGCAACAGCATTGCTGCAACACCAGCTCTTCCCTTGCGAGCCTGATGCCATCAGCAGAAGCACATGTGGAAGAGGAAGCCTCTGTAATTCTTCCCTCCATAACCTCGTCCTGCACACAGGACTTCAAAACCTGCTGGTGCAGTTTCTCTGAAGGCAAGCCCTCCCCGCAGAGTAAGACGAGGCTGGGAAAGCCACACCTCAGGCCTGACCTGTTCCTGATAGGTGCCAAAAAGCATCCTGATAGGTGCCAAAAGGCACTGCACTCCGCCTCTAGAAAAGTGCTGTACAGCAGCATTTTCCTAACTTTACAAACCAACCTGAGTGTTTCCTCTGGCCAAGGCTTCCATCTTGAACTCCTGGAGACTTCCCAAAATGTGATGGGGGAGAATTTCTTCACAGCCATCAAACAGTCCTGGTCCTACAACACAAAACACGCCCCCAAACAATCCCAGAATCAGGTCAGTAAAGCCAGGCTTGGCAAAACCAAAAGTCAAAGATGTGAAGTTTGATCCTACCAGAAAAACTCAGTGGTTCCCTGGGTGCCTTTGGGAACGCAGGATACGCTACAAGGAAACGTGCCGCCTTCTTTGTCTCTTTGGGTTGATATTTTCGAACGAGGTATTTCCTCCTAACTGGAATTCTCCCAGCATCGTGGGGAAGGCGTGGAGCGTGGAGCTTCAGAAAATAAACAGTCACAATGCAATTAGGTACATACTGACTCACCTTCATTCCTTCTGAGCCTTCTAGGAAACACAGAGAAGTCATATCAGTACAGGCTATTCCTCCCCTAAAAGGCATGTTACACGGCTGCGGAGATACCAGCTCAGTTACTGTTTTACTCCTCTGGACTCTGCTTCATAACTGGGGCAGGGAAAAGAGTTTTAAATCACTTTTCCAATAGTTTTCTGCTGTGTCAAATGCTTCCACTCACACAGTTTGACCCGAGTTTTGGAAGGGACACCGTGATAGCTACTAACCAACTCACATGTCTTATTAGACCAGAAGGTTGGAAATATAATTTTGAAGAGGCGGATGACTTATCCTTCCATTTGAAAAGACTGAGTAAGGATCGATAATCCTTTACTTTTGGCAATTGAGCCTGATGATCTGACAAGTCATAAAAAGCAGTGCAGACAGATGGAATGAGAACTGAACTCCAAGAGCGGGTTTTGGTTTAAGTAAATGGACAGCACCCGCTGTCAAACACACAAAATGACTGTCAGTGAAGGCAGCTGTTTCTATCAGTAAAAATACATACTTTCTCCAGGTCCTCCACCTTAATCGCAAGCGCCTGGACGTCATCTCCTTGCAGAACACACGAAATGGGCTCAGGCTCTTCTGCAATCGTTGACGAGGACAGTTCGTGTGCCTTTTCCTTCTTGTCTGAAAAACAGATGAAGAGACCTCCTCTTCAGTCTCCCAAGGAAACCTCGTCTTTCTCTTTCACACCGGTTATTCCTTTCCAGCTGAACTATGTTTTGGGTTGGTTTTTTTTTTTTAGGTTGCACAGAACAATTAAATTCAGCATCTCTTATCCTTGGGAAATCAAACTCTGAGAAGCTCCAAGGACCAAAGCAGGTCGCTCGGATTCAGCTGCCTCACGCTTTATTCTAGATGAGAGACGACGTGAGATAAACACAGCCTGTGCTTCCCGCAGGTACAGCCAATTCCCGGGAAGTTTCCCGCCCCAGCTGCAAGCGCCAGCACGCCGCTTCCCCCCACGGCTGCACTACGGTCACCAGGCACAACTCGGAGAAGCAAGCCACGGATTGCCAGAAGCTTCTAAATAGCCAAATAGCTCTGAAATAGCAGAGCCCCCGCAGAGGCAGCGCAGAAGCAGCCCCGCGGGGATTTGCTTCTTTATCCTTAACCAGCAACTCCCCACAGCTGGGACCGGCTCCTTGACACGCCTGATGCCTCTCGGGGTAAAAAAAAATATTATACTACTAATAAAAGGGGGGTGACTGCGCGGGGCAGGGGCTGTTTGGGGGGGCTTCCACGCACGGCCTGGGGGTC